CATCACTGGAACCCCCAAAGCTCCCCAAGAGAGGGGACCCTGTCGGCCCCAGGAGAAGGACGAAGCCAGGTCACAGAGTGCTCTCTTAAAGAACCGGAAAATAGTCATGTTCTAAACAAAACAGCTGGCGAGAGATGGAGGCTGAGGCCCTTGCAGCCCACCGAATACTAATAGCCTCACATTTCCTACCACCTGTGGAACTGCTCAGCCAGCGCAGAGGCCAGACCTGACCTAACGGCTGCAGTAGCCCGTGTTGGGTCATTCGTCTCTCGAGGCCTGGCTTTGTTACCTGTGGAGTGAGGTCAGGGCACCTCCCTACCTGGGTTGTGCCAGGTTCTTAGCCTGGTGTGGGCACATGGGAAGTGCTGGGCTAATGCAGTGTCGGTCAGAGTCCTCCCTGGAAACAGGACTCGAAGATGGATGGAGACTCACCCGTGTGAGAGAGAGGCTTCTGGAGCTCTGCAGACCCAGACTGCAGACCCAGGAGCACTAGCAGTACAGTTCTGGTCTGAGACTCATCACTAAGGCCTTGGAGAAAGTGACGCCCCCTCCCAAAGACATTCAGGCAGAGAGAGTTACTCCTCTCTTCCTGTGATGTTCTAAGTCTGCAGGGCCTTGAATGCCCCCCTGGGAGGTAGGGCCAGGAGCTTCTCTCAGCCTCGCAAACATTAACCTTGCCCACGAACACCTCGAAATGTCCAGAATAATATTTAACCAACTATCTGCACACGCTGCGGCCCGGTGGTGTTGACCATAAAATTAGCCATCACAGCCTTGTTGTGGTTCCTGGTTTACTAGGAATCGTGGGAAGTTACAGGCTAGTTTGGGAGCTCCAGTGGCTTAATCAGTTAGTGCGCGGTACTTATACAGGCTAGTTTGAAGGTGTCGCCTGTTTTATTCTTGTCTGCCTTCCTGATAACCCCCTTTGTTTGAGGTTTTGATCTCCATGGTTCATACAGGCAGAAGGTAAGGTTGATTTCTTCATCATGCTCTCGGTGAGCAAATACCCCTTTGATTTTATGGTGGGAAGAAAGTGGCTGAAACGGAACCGGTGTCACCAAGAATAGATATGATTTCTCCCACCAACAAGGGTGGTAGCAGTTTTATTACCACATAAATCGGCCCTTGTCCTCCTTTTATCTCCTCGTTTCTTCCATACATGCTGATTAATTAATTGAGCTTACCTGTCTAAATCATCCCATCTTGATTCTCATAATGGTGAGCCTGTGAGGGCTGAAGAAGCTAGAAGTGATTTAGTATTAGAGATTTTGATTACATTGAATATAGAATCAAATAAAATGTGAAAATGATGAATAGAAGTGGGGAGTGAGGTTTGAAATTAGTCTTATTTCCTGTACGTACAAGAGGCCCACTTAGGGTGGTTTTTACCTTGGCCTATTTTAGGAATGATATATTTGGCTCACAACCAGAAAAAGAAAATAAGCGAGCACCTGTCTTCTAAACCAACCTCAGCACTCTGAATGTTTGAGCTGGATCATTCTCTGTTGAGGGGGTGTCTTGTGCACCCTAGGATGCTTGCAGGGTTGCTGCCCTCAACTCTCCTGATGCCAGTGGTACCCCAAGTTGTGAAAACCAGAAATAACCTTTGGGCAATACTTGTTGTCGCCCTAGGAGGCAAAACCGCACCCAGGTGAGAACTGCTGCACCAAATGTAGGAAAGATATTTAAATGTTTAAATAGAAATGGACCAACTTTCTCTAAGCCAAACCTTTCCTTGTGTCCATCTATGAATCGGATTCACATTTAATGAGAAGTCAATGATGCAACACAGTTCCTTTGATTTCTCCTGCATTGCTTCTGAGTTGGAGAATTTGTATTCTGCTGGGGGTGGTGCTCAGAGCGGAGCACCTGCCTACTTACTATGTGCAAGGCCCGGATTCCATCACTAGCCTTACAAAATGGAAAAAAAAAAATCCTTCCTTAATGTCACAACTCTTTATTAGGAAGAAAGCCATGCATGGCACTGCCCTCAAAGGATCTAAGAGGAGGACTAAGGTGTGGCTAATGGGAGAACACTTTCCTGGCATGCATGAGGCCCTGGATTCGATTCCTGGCACTGAAAAGAATGCAGGAGGAACAATGAATATTGTGGGCGTGGTGACAAAAGTTTAAGCCATGCTGGCTCAGAGAAGGGAGCTTTGAGCTGTTTCTGTGGGGAGAGAAGACATCATAAAGAATGTGTCCATTGGAGAGCTCAGAAAGATGGAGGATTTGGTATTTACCCCGGTCTGAGAGTTTATGAGAATGCATGTTAGAGAGAAGGAAAGGCTGAGCAAAGGCCAGGAGCCACCCAGGAGATGCCGGAAGGAGCCTGGGACGGCTGCAGCATCGGTGAGTCCCACATGGACGATGACTGTCTCTCAAGCGGCACGCCATTTTGCATTTTGACCTCGGGGAGGCTTCAAGACATGAATTCTGTTGCAGATAACAAAAATGCCTAGCAAAGCAATGACAGCAGACCCGGTAACCACGCATGTGTGATAGAAAGATTTTGGCCCTGTGCCTTGCTCGCTCCACCTGAGTGAGTGAGGTCCTCTTGTTTCCACACAGACCAGCTCCACACTGATCCATTCCAAGGTGACACAATAGTAGGCACCCATCAGCAAAGACGATTCCTAAATGCCGTGGAAAGTTGGCAAAGGGGACATCATGCCACTGCACACTTGCTCTATAGCTGTCCCTCTTCCCAAAGCCCCAAACCTCCTGTGTCATTCGCTAAACCCCCTCTGCTGCTTTTGCATTCATGACTTGCACTTTCTCACTCTTCTTCCTGATATAAATTAATTTAAACTCCAATTTTCTACCCTGCCCCGCATTACCACTGTGCTAATTGAACTTGTGAATAAACACAGAATCCTGTCATGAAGATAGGAGAAGGAGAGAGGCTCTGAATTTTGTATCCCTGAATGTCACTCACTTGGGTGGACCCATCTCGTTGTGAATATAGCTTTGATCCTTGCTACCTGTGTAACCTTAGGCTAATGCCCCTTCTGGGCCTCAATTTCCTCATGCATAAAATGGGGTGAAATAGTTGTGAAGTATAATATTGGCTTATATCTATAGTTACAAGTGCCAAGCTCTTCTGTGCTAAGATTGGACACGTCTGCCATCTGTCACCTGCTGGAAGCCCTTGTAGGGAACATGGCTGTTGGGCTGACAGACATGGTTGTCAAATCCTCACAAGGACCCAAAGTATAGTAATTTAATAGCACTAACTTTTTATTATCCTTATTCCTTTTTTAGTTTTTATTTTATTTCGTCGATTATTCATCATAATTCTTTTTAAGGATTGCACATCTTCCAGATCTGATTTTAGCAAAAGTCTTGCCAGTTTCCTAGAAACCTGTGCTATTCCTCCAGGCTGTATTACTCTCTTCTGGGGAGACCCAGACAGAAAATTCTTACCTACAGTGGAGTGTCTATCCCCCTCCATAAGACATGCTAGAATGTTGTCCCTTAGTGAAAAATATGAAGTATTTCCTAGTAAATGGAAACAATCATGACACTTCAACTAGTCGGTGCTCATGGGCCAAGTCTGTACCCTGTGAGCCTGACTTTTGTTGAAATTTTGCAAAATATCATGATAATTTTACAGATCCTAATACCATTACATATTTCTTCTCTCTGACATGTGTAAATTGTGTGTTATAGGATATCATAACTGCTTGTCATGCTGCTACATACTCATTATAATTTGTATTACGTAAGTGGCCAGTTATCATCCATCTTGCTAATGTACCACAATTCACTTAACCTCAATTTCAGCAACATGACATGGGTTATTTCTAATTCTTCCTCTTTTACTCATAACCTCTAGCTCACATATGTTTGCATATAAGTTCTGTCTTCTTTATGTTATTTCCTTAGGGCACACTCCTAGAAATGAGATCACTAGATCAAGGAACATCCATTTTTTTATAGTTTTTAAATGAATTGACAATTTTTCTAGTTTACAGTGCTATCAGAAACATATTAGTATCCTACTTGTGCTGCAGCTTTGTTAGAAGTCTGTATTACTGTGTGATATTTAATTCTCTAATGTGGTAACTTTTGATTTTTGCATTTTCACAAAAGCAGCAAACATTTGCTTGCGAATTTTGTGCCCTCTCATATTTTATAACAGCAATTAGACTTGAAAACCTAGGTAGTTTTTACTTTTATATTTGTTGTCCTCTTCTTTTATTGCCCAGTAGCTTTACATATTAAATAAAACTAGTATTGATAATTTTTTGCAACATTCAGTTGCACGTATGTGATCATGAATTATTAATGACTTGTGAATAGGGAACTATAGGGTTAGATAAAATAATGGAAAATTAGAAAATTAAAAGCAGGGCAGTATATCTTCACTAGTATTCCCAAGACCAAAACAGAGGTGAAATTCAAATAATTCAATCTCTAATCAGGGTTGAGTGACTTTCTTTTCAATACACCTGCTAAGCCACTCTAACTTTTCAATAAGCAAAGTCAGGAACTCCAGCCATATTGTGACCGATATTTCCATCTAGATTTTATCCCAGAAAAAATCTTCCTGATGAATGAAACTACCCCCCCACATGCCCCCCAAAAAGCCTCCCACATTCCCAATCTGATCTTGCCCAAGATCAAGCAAATGCATGAACCACAATGTATGAAATGGGTTCCCAACCAGCACCACTGCCTTGGAGCTGGCTGTTGGTTCCAGAGACCTGGGGTAGCGCTTCCTTGCAGACAGCTCAGCCTTTCTCCGAGAGGGGCTTTCCATGTCTGCCTGTCTCTGCGATGGCTGTCCTCCATTCCCTGCCAAATGATAAAAGGTCACGCCATGAATACAAGCCATCACAAATCCATCCTGGAGTTGAGGAACCACCATCTTGGCTACAGCTTTCTCTTTGACCTAAAGGTGTTAGGTTTCATTTGAATAAGATCATTGCTACTTATCAGTGTCTGGGAACGTAATGGAAGTGACTTACCATGTTTCCCCCTTTTTCTTCTTGCAGCCTCAGCCGAGGGTTCTCCATAAACATGGTTAGCCTTCCAAGCTGCTGTCCTGCCAGTTGGTGTGAACATGGCCTGTTCCCACAGAAAGACTAACTCGTGACACTGCCAGAAGAGGCCTTTGGAGCATTAACAGATTAACTGGATTAACTGGAAAAACACCCATTCAGTCAAGATGAGGAGCTTTGGAAAGAAATCTTAGTTTGCTGTGGATTTTTAAATGAGGTGCATATCATTCAACGCCAACTCGTTCCAAGTGGCCATTGGCAGACCGTAAGCTGGAAAATTGTTTCCAGTTCTCATCACTGTGCATAACTCGAGTTCCCTTTGGGGCCTGTCCTTGCCCTGTGCTAGAAGTCCTGTTGTAGCATGGCAACCACTGGATTCTTTTATTTGTGTGCAGATGGCATGATGTTCTAGAAAAAAAAAATTTGCAGCCCTTCTGCAATCTCCGTGGAAGTGTTCACAATATTCTGCCCTGGTAGGGATGTAACTGTGTCTCTGTTATGTCAGTTATGGTATTCTGTCCAACTCTGAAGCACTTTATATGAGAAAAATATACTGGCATAAATCATCACATACGGTACATGTAGGAAAACAAGAATTTTCTTTTATAAATTTTGTCTTCTTTCTGGCTCAGACTGTCCAAGACAAGCTCCTCTACTAGCATATTCCCAGTCATATGTGGTAGATTGGTGTGTAAATATGGCCATGATACTGTTAGACCTCACTTCTTGACACTTTACTGAATAACTGGATGACTTTTAACACCAAAGGGATGGAGGAGCGGGCCTGGCAACTGGAATATTTGAGCTCTTGGGTCTTTTTACCAAGGCACAATGTACAAATACCCAAATTCAGGAGGCTGCTCTTTGGCCAGTGTGCATTCTCTCGGTCTTTAGAAGAACTCTTCTAAAAACAAAAGGACACGGATTTCCTTTCTGTCATCGATCATGGTGGGCTGATGCTAAGGACAGCAGAATATAATTTTCCTATGTGGTCTCACTCTAATGCTTTGGGAGATAATCTGGGTCAAGTTTAAATCACAATTCTCTACTTTAAATCAAGGGACCCCACTTGTGCCTAGAGAAAAAAAAGGGTTCAGCCCTGTACTAGGTGGCTTCCTCAACACAGAACCTCCTGCTTCTTCTTATCCTTTCTGGAATTGCACCCATGACTAATTTTTTAAACTCTGTCTTACAACGAAGCAGTCCTGGGAAACTTGTCCCCTTGGTGATGGCTTGTCTTTGATGCCTGGCCCTACAACACACCTTAGTGTTTTTTCGCTGGAAATCTGAAGTAGGCTGAATCCAAAACTCAGCAAAGTCCATTCTGTATGCTGCTACCCCAGCTTGGGCCCAAGGGCATCAGAAGCTCCTCTTTCAAATGAGTAGAATAACTTCCAGAATCTTCCATAGCCTCCAGTGCTCATCCACAGAGAGAGAGCTGGATATGGCTGCAGAGCCAGGAAAGGGGCTTCCAGAGGGGACTCAGCGAATCTCAGACACCACCCACATCTAGCCTTTTAATCCATCAGCACCAGGGCCATCACATATACAACAGACCACAATTCTCCACCCATCCAGAAGTCAGAGCCAGCCCTTGCTGCCAGTGACCCTGGACATCTCCCTCCTCCACTGTGAGGCCCCCACACCTGGGCTTCCCTACCCTCCCGTCCATCGTCAATCTGGCAAGCACTTGCTAAATGTCCATGAGCCAGAACAGCTATAGCATACCAAACAGACTCCCCCATCTTACCGAACCGAACTTCCTCCTCACACACTGTCGCTACCCACCTTTCCTACAGGGAGAACTGAATCCAGGCAGCTTCACTCTGTGCCAGAGGAGTCCAGGAACATGCACACAGCAGCAGGCAGAGGTCCTTGCCTGAGGGACTGGGCAGCACCAGAGCGTATATCTGTACCTGTCCTGTACAGACACCCTGTCCAGACTGGAGCTGGTCAGAGCATCCCAAAACAGCCTCCAACTGCTCTCTGATTCTCACCCCAGTCGCAGATATTCCCACCCTTTTTGTGGATGCAACCACTAGTCACTAAAATGCATCTCTAAAGCTCTAGAACGAGTTCTGACAGTTGGTTTTAATGAACCCTAAGGGACTCCCTACTGCCAGGTGCTGAGAAACTGTAGCTGGGAATGAACTGGTCTACCAGAGGCATTGCGAGAGGACTGCTAACACCCTAGGAAAACTGGACTCGCTCTACAGGGCCGGGGTTCTCTAAGTGAGGGTGGTGCGTTGTTACTTCCTTTGGCTTTTGCAGAATATTCTGAACGATTGAATAAGTAGAGATTCATAGCCGACTTTTTTTTTTTTTTCGAGTTGAAGGAGTGACAGAATATTGTCAGAGAAGGAGAGTTGAAGACAAACATGGGAGAAGGCACAGCGCAGACCACTGAGGAGCCCAGTGGAGGGCAGTGTCTCTAAAGTTGCCTTAACGCCCGGCACACACAACGTATTTACATGTGAACTCCTACTGTTTTCCAAACTGCCAACCTCTGTTGGAAATCACCTGAGGGCATAGTTCTGGACACAGGGTGGCATAAAATCAATGATCACGAGCTAAGCAGCAAGCCAGGGCAATGACTTCATTGTGTCTTTGGCTTCTTTGTTCAAAGAGATCCTCTCTGACTTCTCATGGCTGCTTCTGCTGTGCTGTACCTTATTCCCAAGATGTACAAGTGTGAGATTTTACCTCCCAGAAATTCAGAAATGGCTGTGCTAAGTCTTGTCGGGTAGGAAATGAGGGCTGGGAAGATAGGGATAAATATTTTGATGTCTAAAGGCTGTAAACTGTTGATGCTTAACTTTTCTTTTTACTTAAATCTGTGCTAGGCCTTTTATTAAAGACTGATCCTCGTACTTGTGCAAGAAAGACACTCTTGGGAATGAACTGAAATGAATAATTATCAGACTCTCCAGGGTGCCAAGGGGATTAGCTTGCTCGGGCTCCAGAACTGAATTTAAATCCACAGAGCATTGTTGGTTCTGCTAGGTAAAAAGCAAATCGCTTCAGTAGTTTTAGATTTGCCTAGGGGGATAGAGACCCCACCAACCTTCCTACCCTGGGCACCTTCACATTGCTGTGCAAGCTCTGAATGGGGTGTCCCCACAGATTTGACATCTACCTCCAGATCAGGGTAAACCACCTGGCTTTCTCCTCAGAGTCCCTTCACAGTTGCCCAACAGGAGCTCACAGCCCTTACTTCCAAGGAAAATGTGCCATTTTTAACATTCCAGGGAAAAGGAAGATCCACCTTCCCCGAGAAGATAAACTGAGGATAAACTCTAATGGGCCTCTCTCCCCTTGTTACTTGCAAATGCTTTCTTTGTCTGCAAATGTCTTGTAATTGATTTTGGATGATAACAATACAAGTCTCAAAGAAGTGAAGTTTTCAGGACCCCTCCCCAAGCATTTTCCTTTTACCAAAACCTCCTCTTCCGCTGTGCATTAGCACCTTCATTCTTTGCGATGTTTTCCTCCCTATTCTTAGAGTAATTTTGCTACTTGACAACTAGACGTAAAGCTGCCATAGACTTAAAAAATATAATCTCTGAAAGTGACATAAATTCCTTGATCCCTTAGAGGCTGTTTTTGTTCACCCCCCTCACGGCCCCCTCCACACCACTTTGTGTGTGTGTGTGTGTGTGTGTGTGTGTGTGTGTGATTTTTTTTTTAATCTCTCTTTTAAGATAGCACTGTGGGTAGATTTCAAATATTCAGTAAGGAACTTAAATAGAAAAACATAGTGCTCAGCTCTTTCGCCCAGTCCTGACTAATAATTCCTTCTTAAGACTGACCTTGGGAATGCTGGCTGCCCAGCCACAGTGGGATTTGGGTTCCCTTCTCCCAGGGGTGACTGCTCATTGCTGATCTTCACACCAAAGCCTGTGAGGTCAGCATGGAGGGAGTCTGGGAGATGTTTCTACTGGGCCACAGCTGAGGAACCCATTTCAGAGACAGGCAGGTCTCACTCCTGAGTCGTCCCCCTCACCCCGCCATCTGCGTCTAGTCCCAGAGCCGGAACTACCAATGAGCTCTGGTTTACAAACACACATGATTCCAGCAGCTCAAGACAAAAGAGAGCCATGTCTCCATTATTTTGCTCCGGTGACTTTCCGTATCCAGAAGACAGGGAATATTCTTTTGAAAGCTTTGGAAAATATGAGGTAAAGCTGGCCAAGAACACAAGGAAGTCCTGCCATACCTCAAGAATAAAAGCAAAATAGGGAAGATGGGAGGGGAGGGACCACCGTGTGGGTCCACCACCTCACCTCCTGGGCTGCACAGTGACATTGTGGGCAGAGGGAGGGAGGCGAGGAACGAGCACTGTCTAGAATCTAAACACTTTGGGGTGAATTTTACCAATGACATGTAAGAGGGAATGTGGCCATAGGCGTGGGGCTGATTCGTGACCTCCTGCCCAAAGGCAGAATGACAGAAATGACTTCCGCGGAACAGCAGGTGAGTGCAAGAGGTTTTACGAAATATAAGTTTCATTTGCCATATAAGCCTCTTTATCATTCCTGAAGCAACGGTCACTCTTACGTGGGAGCCTCCCTCCCCTGCGTGATTACCGCAAACACAAAGAGGCACCAACAGCCTGCGCTTCGTATGACTTTCAGGCTGCTGTAGGACCAATGTCGAATGGCAGTTGGCTGCTTGAACTGACATTAAGCATGGCTGATATTTAGATATTATTTCTGATCACAGATTTTCTTATTTGGGAGCCAGTCGTTTGGGAGTTTTGTCTTGGTTTGTCGTTTGTTTTGTTCGTCTCCAAATCTCCCATGTGTCAGGAAGCCTTAGAATGACTCTCGAACCCAGGCCTTGCTGTACCTAATGGAAGCAACCCTACTGATGTGATCTACGAGAAGACTATTACATATCTGTCTTTGGAGATGCTTATCCCTAAAATGATTCTGACACTGAGGACTGATTGTTCACAGCCTTTTAAAATTCAGTAATTTGGATCAAAAGGAATAAACGGCTGCTCTCACCTGGTTCCCCATGTTAGCACACCCATAGCTACCAGACATGGCATTACAGGCGTTTAGTCATGACCACCCCTTCCCACAGTCTGTAAATTTATTTTGAAACACTTTTTGCTTTTGTTAAAGAATCCAAAACAGGAGAGCTTTATTAGATTACTGTTTGGTATAGAATGGGGGAAACTGATTTTGAAGGTAACCTTAAGGCAAAACGTGCTCACTGTTAAACACCTCAAGCACCTAGACGTTGCTCCTGCTCTGGACCAACTGAGGGTCTCTTCTCCCGAGTCCTGAGGGCTGAGCCTGGCCCACAGTATAGCACAAATGCCATGGAAATGCCTTTTAAGCTCAAGCATCATTGCAAAACTAGGATTTGGAATTTGAGAACTGCCTTGGTCTTGGGTCCTCAGGCTGCCGAATCCATGCTAATTCTTTAAATGTTTGCAGTGTCTTTTAGAACCACAGTTCACTGCATTTCATCTGTTTGCACTGCCTGCTGCCTCCTATGTCCAGACCCCGTAGCACACATTGGACTGGACTGCTGTCTCCCCCCAGGCTCACGCTGCAGGTTTCCCACAGTGTCCCAACTGTGCTGCACACCAAAAAGGCCACTGTGGTGGGAGGAGCCTTAAACAACGTGGGGGGTGGCTATTCGTGATGGAATGCTAGAAACTTTGTCCTTGTCATTCAGTTTTTTTAAATGAGCGCCCGTGTGTGTGTGTGTGTGTGTGTGTGTGTGTGCAGTCCCAGTGATGGAACCCAGCTTGTCACCCACGGCAGGCATATACTCTACTACTGAGCTACACCCAGTCCTTCTCTTTCACTCTTATCCCAACCTCAGCTCAGATCTCGATAAACTGGCCTTACCCTCCAGCCCCAATGGGGACAGAAGGGATCCCACTGGCTTCAACTCATCCCAGGCAATAGGGCTGCAAAATTTCTCTACCAAGGCCATGACGAGATGACCTGAGCTTGCCTTGTGGAGAGCTGAGTAGCACCAGGCTCTTGACTTTGTACAAGGTCTCGGTCGTGACTGGGACAGGTGTAACTGGCCTGCTGAAAAGCCAAGCCAGCACAAATGTTTTGCAACTAATTCCACCAAAACTCTTGTGTCAGTAAATCATACTGCTGTAGTTCCAGTTAATCCAACTATTTAATATCATTAGGCACTAAATTAAATAGCTTTACACAAAATTTTAGAAAAGATCAATATTGTAACAAAATTACATATTAGCAGTAAAAAGCACCTGAGAAAGGAAAATATTGATCTACTGTGGTTTATATACTGGAGTTATTCTTGAGACTTATTCTTAGGAGTTATTCTTAGAGCTCAGTAGTGCTCTGATAAAGGGGAAGAAAATGTTCTGAATTCAAGAACACTAGACTAACAGAATCACCCTGTCTCTCTGAGCCTCTGCCTGTCTGGGATACTCTCTGTCCCTCCTCAACAGACAGAGCTGTTTGGAAACAGAAAGGAGCTGAAGGGAGAAGCTGTCTCACCACCCATATGGGCATAATTATCATGGCGTCCTGGGTTATGGGCTTTATTTAATGATATCTTTCCTCACTTGAGGCTTTCTCCTCAAAGCTGTCATTACTGAGCCTCCTCTCCGGGATTTAGAAAGGAAAAAGAAGAAACGATGAGAATGTAACAGTGAGGGTCTAACATGCCCAACTACCTGGGGGACCCTGGGCCTGGACGGGGGCTTGCACAGACTGCCAGGCCCCGGGTCAGAGAAGACACGGGAAGAGCGAAGTTGCCTCGGTGAGGGATACAGGTGGCAGAGAGCCACAGCACACTGCGAGTTGGTTATTTGTTCTAGGGAGGAAAGAGAAAAATCACACAAGGTGAATTAAATATAAGATGGGTCTGAGTGGGGAAAACTGGTTCATCCTTTTGCAAAACAGCAATGAACACGGCTGAAAAGCGTAGTTCGAAACACAGAAGCCTACGGAGATAAACGATTTATAGCTTCCTTGAGTGAGCCATAGCTGGGAATCTCCTGGTCTCCCGAGCATGACTGACGGATTAAACACCAATTCTCTCATCCGTGGCCCACCACAGTCGTGCTGTTCTCTATGCACCCTGCAAAGACCCGCAGGCCCCCGAGGTAGGAGGACGCATCAAGTCAATGGCGAGACAAGAGTGCCTTCTCGGATATTCACTTCCCTTCTCTAAGATGTTTAGGAACTTTTGTTGCTCTAAACATCAGAATTATTGTGCAACACAATTTTGAACCACTGATTTCTGTATCTTAAGCAGCTACCAACTTGGGTCTCCTTTCTATTTTCTTAGACTACTTCCTTCTGTATGAGATTTTCCTCAAGAAGAAGGGGGGAGGGGCGGGGGGCGTGTTTCTTTTTAAATTGATTAAAGTGAAACTGTACAGATTTTTGCCCCCCTTGTGTCTGTAAGCATGATATCTATCGAGCCTGAAAATCTGCTCTGTCATTTTGTATGTTTGACTATTTTGTATTCAGCATTACTTGACTCCTCATGTGCATGGCAATGTATTAAAATGTAGGATTTCTATTACCGTGTAAGTGTTTTCATTCTGATTTTCAACATATATCCTTGGCCAAAAAATTGCATTAAACTTTTCATTTCTATTTTCTTCAGCTCATCAGCCTTGCAGAAGAAAAGTTAACAGCATTTCACTTTCTCTGTGTTAGCTAATGATGCAATTCATGGTGGAAAATTGTCCTCAATTACGCTGTTTCCTGGAGAAATAATATCTGGGAAACGAATTGGTGGTCTCCCTCCAACCCCAGCACACAGAATTCCCCCAGTGCCAATCCCACCAGAGAGACCGCGCCTACGATCAAACCTGTTAGGATTGAGCACAGTTGGACAAAAGTCACAATTCTCTTCCTCCCTAGAGCTGGAAACACGCTGGAGAGAGATAGGAAGAAGGATCTTCACCCACCTGTGTGTCCTCACCCGCAAGAGTCCTGCATGCTTACAACAGCTTGATTAGCGGCCCCTCCCAGAGCCTCCTGTCCTGTGCATCCCAGGCAGTGGTGACGAGTAGCAGAAGTCACCTGTCTCTCTATGAAGATACTGACCTTCGAGGTCCACCTGCCATCGAGCACCGAGGTTAGAAACCAGTGCTGTCAGGCAGGGTAGCTCAGCAAACATCTGGACACCCTCTGCTCTCAGCCACGCGTCTTTCAGAGTTTTGTTTTTTTAATTTTGCAATACGTAATATTTGCACTACATAGGGATTACATTCATCTTAAGGAGCTGGTACATGCGCATAACACGCCTTCATTCTTTTTCCACCCGCTTCCTCTCCCCTCCTGCCAAATTTAAACTTAAGAAAGGAAGCTTCTAAGTAGCAAGACGCACCAACACGAACAGCAGACCTTTTACCTTCCCCAGTCTCTGCGCTCACACCCTTTGGCCAGGAGATGCTGTAATGATCACTGCTGCTCGGCGCCGCAGGGCTTTCCTGAGTCTGATGGCTCGCCCCGTGGGAAAGGCACTTAAAAATTCTGAGAAAAACAAAAGGAGACATCATTATGTTGTTTATTACGTGTTGATTGTGAATCCAGTGTTTCTGTTTGCAAAAAAAAACAAAGTTTCCAAAAGCAAAATCTGAAGTAACCTTTCAGGTTAGCTCAGTGACTCCACGTCCAAACCCTCTAAACTCTCTAGATACCTTAGAACTCTGAAAGGGCATCTGCCTCCCAATTCCTCTATGTGCAGATTAAGGACGTGGAAATGGGACGTCTTGCTGTTACATAGCCTCTGTAGAAGATGCTAAAACCACAGCCTCCAAATTCGTCTTTACTTTTCTAGCATCGTTTCTAATCGTGTCTTCTCTTTTCACTTTCTCTCATTGTGTTCTTCCTTTCCTCTGTCAGCTGCCTTTAACTCATTTCTCCATTTGTACGCTTATATTCCTACTTTCAGGATGGTAACTTCCTCTGCCTCTATCTTCTCTCCTCTCCCCCTTGATTTCCCCATCTCCATCTCCGTTTTCCAACCCATTTGTCCTTCTTTTCTTTGTCTTTAGGATTGGATACCCCTTTGGACTCGTATCCATCCATATCTCAGCACATTCTAATTGCTCAGTAGCTGCTAGGCAAGCGGGATTAAACCTGGTGCTATGGTCTTCCAGCTCACTTCCCTTCTGTCCGTGGAGCCTTGAAACCCTGCTAATGTTTCATTAAGCAAATTCACTCCATAATGAAGGCTAAAGTCGGGTGTGTTATCTGAGGTAGGTGAAACCTTTGGTTTCCTCCAAACTTGATATAGGCAGATTCTCCTAAATACCATTTTACCCATGTTTCTTTTAAAGCCTCCCAGCCATCTGGGTGCTGGGGAAATGCACGCTTTTCTGGGTACATGTGGCAGCTATATTTGGATCAAGAACAGTGAGAAGCTGAGGCCACTGAAATAATTTATTAACCTAAGATTATTCAGAATCTCATGAAATCCTTCTGTGAGCCCTTGGAAATGAGCACACAGCAGAACCGGATCTCTTATGCTAGAGAAATCCTAAAATGCTTTGCAATTTCCAATGGGTTCATCTGACCAGGAGCTGGTTGAGGAGGTTGCTTAGGGTGACTACAAAATTGTTAGGATCGTTGATGTTTTATCTTGCACATCTATTTTTAAAGTAGGTCAGTAGGTACATTATAAAATGTTTTCCATGGTCTTTCATAAATGACATAAAATGCGGAAAAAAAACTTTAAGAAAGGCAGCCACATTGTTCTATTCTTGTACAGATGAAATGACTAGGGCGCACTCGAGTCCTGCGAGTTGTACACCGTGGTCTCACAAGTGTCACCAGAAAGGGAGGGTTGCCTGGATTCTACTTCCCCCAGATCTCTCTCCTTTCGGTGATGTAACCCAAACGCTCCTGGATCCCCATGGCCTGGGCTGCACATAGCTGCCCAAGAGGATGGATAAAGTGCAGATGAACACACTGCCAGGTTTTACTGTCTTTCATGAAACTGTGAAAGCTGGGGACAGGGGTAGAGGGTGTGTGTGTGTGTGTGTGTGTGTGTGTGTGTGTGTGTGTCACACCAGAGTGGTCTTAAAAATCCTCCCCGTCTCATTACCCTCAGTATCTTCCACCTTAAAGCAGCGCTTCCTTTCAGTTCCATGTGTGTGTGTATGTGCGCGCACGCGTGCGTGCGGTACCAGATATTGAACATACTGAACCCAGGGCTTTCACACTGAACTACATCCCTGGCCTTTTATTTTATTGTTAATTTTGAAACCAGATCTCACGAAGTTGCTTAGAACAATCTTGGACTTGCAATCTGCCTCACTTCCCAAAATGCTGGGATTTACAAGGGTGGGCCACTGTGCCTGGCTGCCTCCAGCCTCCTTCATGGAAGAAGAGCCTTTCGAAATCTCAACTCTTACCCATTTAATTTTCCTACTTTTTCTTCTCTGGCTGTTTTTCTCTATGTGGTGCACTGATTCTGCATCCATGAAACACACAGCCAAACCAGGAAACGCTGACTGTTCATCAGTGAGCATAGGAGAAAGCAAACTATAATTATATGATATTATTCTGAATAATTTTCTTTATCGAATTTTCTTGACTTCTAGTAATCCTGGCCCTGGAACTATAGAATCAACCATCAAGAAGTAGAGAGTAATTGAGAAAGTAAGCCTTATGGGGCTTGCAAGTTTTTGTTTATTCATTTAACAAACACAGATGGATCAGATGCTGCTCATCTTTTGTGCCAGAAACTGTGCCTGACACTGGGCTTAATGATGCTGACTCAAAGATAAATGACATTTTTCCTGACCTTAGAGATCTTACATCCTACATTAGAGAATTGAGTAACTCAGCAAACCATATCTCTCTAAAGTATCTCCTATTAAAATGCAAATAGGATAATAATTTAAGTCCCATTCATTCTCAAACTCTAGAACTAGGGAGGGACTCAAGAATGGTCATAGCCTGGCAAGATCTGATAGTCTAACACATGTATTTTATGCCCCTCCTTGGGAATTGGGATTCACATTAACCTATTAAAGGCTCTGAGAAGTCTTGCAGGAAGTAACCCTATGCATTTCTTCAGTGCAGCGTTTTCAGATTTCACTCCAGCATCCACTGCTCTCCACCACCAGAGAACACCAGTGAATAGCCTGGGATGCAAACACTTTGGAAATGCTGTTCTGTGCCATTCTTTAGCTTGAGTAGCATTATCACGATCAGGTGAGTGTGAAGCCCCTCAGGAAAAAAAGTGGTGCCAAAGGTGGATTTGTGAGTGGGAGATGGAGACCTGAGGCCCGGAAGGGGGTTCAAACTAACTTCCCAACTTCTATTAATAAAAATAACAACAAAGCAGCTACTTCATGTTTCATCCTGTGTGCTTTTCACACCCTAGCCCAGTCACCAGCCAAGGTCAGGATAGAGTAGACAGTTGTACAGTCCTGTACAACTCTGGATTTTAACTGTCTCTTCTGAAATATTAGGCATGTGGGAGAGACGAATTCCAATATCCCTCCATAACACTAACGTTCAGCCCCTTTCTACGGTGCACATGCTTATCTCCAGCTTTGCCTTTAAAGCTATGCAAGCACACACATAAAACATCTAGAAGCTTCTAGTACATTCTAATACTTTCCTTCTTCAGACTGAGGAATTTTTAGTACATATTTTTGTCTCACAAGAGTTATGGAAGCCATTTTTCCAAAGAAAAGAAGAACTGGGATCAAAGTTCGAACACAGGCCCAACTAGTAACTTCACCAACAGGAACAGGTGGTGATTTATGTTGAGTAAGCCAAACCTTCTTAAAATTCATTCTTGCCTACAATGGAGTCAGGAGAAAGGAGGTCTTCCAAAGAATGTGAGGGGGGAGTCCAAGTGTTATCAAACCTGATAATCTGTGTATTCTTCCTTCGATGGTGGCCTACTCAGTACTTACATTAGCGGAGTCAAAGAGAACTCAAACTCAGAGCTGTAAAGAAGCATTCCCACAGAGAATCCAGGCTGCCTTCATGCAGCTGGTGTTTCCCAAAGGGAATACACACTCCCATTCCCATGGCGATGGGGGCGGAGATGGAAAGGGCAGTGACGAGCGGAGAATTTCAAGGACCCTAATCCCCCTTCAGATGGGTTAGCCTCGTTTCTGACCCTGGGCGAGAAAGATAAACCCCTACCTTTGTACTCCCTTTGTAGTTTTTCTTTTTCTGTTATATTTCAAAGTCAATGGCTAATGTTGCTACCTGAAGACAGAATAATATTTAAAATTTTAAATACAGTTTATTTTGAAAAACAAAAATTATTAAAATAAGAGTCAGCTTCAATGAGCATATGATAGTCTCTGAATTTATGATTTGATTTACTCAAATAAAATAATGACCTAAATTGAGTGTTTACTACAGGTCACCTCATTTAGTGCCAGTAATACTCTATATTATTCCTCCCATCACAAGGAAGAAATCAGGGTTTAAAGAGATTAAATTCTTAGGCCAGATCATTCATCTGACCCAGTCAAGATCACAACTTTCCTTTTATTTTTACTTGACGTATAAAAATTATGTGTATTCACAGAGTACAGTGATGTTTCAATACATGCATACAATGATGTGTAATAATCATTGGTGTACACATCGCCTCAAACATTTATCATTTCTTTGAATTGAACAAATCCTCTCTCCCAGTGATTTTGAAATATGCTATTTAATTGTTTTCAACCACGGTGTTACCCCACTGTGCAGTAGTGTTAGTTTTCGCTCCTATCCAAGTGCTCTACTGTACAAAGTACTTCTGAAAGAAAGCTGTGCTATCTTTGAAAAATGCCCCCAACACACAAAGCTTGGCATGTTTTCAATGGGCTCAAGAACCATCCTAGCCCATTCCATTTTAAGGATTCTTGCCTTAAATAATTTCAGTGAGTTTTATTGGTGAACAAGAGACGGTAGAAGAAGAAACACAGCCAGCAGTGACTTTGCCTCCAGCACACTGCAGAGCTTCTCTCTCTCGGGAAGAGAGGGGATCGGGGTCGTCACAGTGCACCCATCTCATGGGCTGTTCCTGGGGGCCGTGCTCTGGAGCCCTGGAGACACAGCAGCAAATCCTTCCAAGTCCAGGCCTCCTGGAGAACGCTGTCCACACAAGAAGCCAGGTAAGTGAATGCTCACTCGGTCTGTAGCCCTCATTCTGCGCTCCAGCTCTTTGATCCCTCTGAGGGCATCCAGAAGAGCAGCTAATTCAGCAATAGGACATTCACTGTAAAGATGTTACTACTGCACAATTTTTGTTCCATTGTATTACCTTGAATATATAACGAGCTCTTCTGATAGCAAAAGTATTTTTCCTATTCCCTTGTCAAGAGGAAACAAATCACACCCATTCTTTAAATGCCTCCAAAACTGGTATGAATATATTCTCTTCAAATTAGGACTTTTGATTTTCTGTGTACAAGGAAAATATAACCTGTGCTTTTTGTGCTGTTTCCGTTAAGATTTTAAACGCCTTTTTCATTCAGTGTGTTATTCAAGTCAGGTAACACTGGGTGTGAGACAGCTATTGGCAGGAAACTAAGTGCATATCCTGTACCCTTATGTCTACAATTTCAAGCTTGGCAATTCTTTTTTTATGTTATAGAGGGCCTTTTACTTATTCATAACCCATTTATTTCCACAAAGTCACTGAGACAATTCATAAGAAAAATATACCATAAAATAGAAAGCTAAAAATAAACTAAAATCAAATCAGAGAAAGCATAGAGCAATTAGAAGATGGAGATGAGGAAGTAGGTTGTTACCTATACACTCTGGCCATCATTATTAAAGAGAAGCCATAAATTTCATGTCAGCCTTCGAGGCCATCAAAGTGATTTGATACAGAATTTACAGCCTCCATAAAGCATGGATGTATAGCGGAGAAGAATACAAAAGTCACATGAATTTTTAACATACGACGACGGCAGGGATGGCAGCTTACTGTGCTGAGAGCTGTGCCTCCAACCCGCGAGTGGATGAGCTCACTCTGCTCTGAAAACAGGGCTAAAACAATGTTAGAAAAGCCTTGCTTTGGGCGATCAAGTTTTTCCCTTCTTCCCATGTAAGTCTGTAGAACATTTCTGATGAGTCTTTCTAGGCGGGTCCCAAGTGAAGCAGTGGCCGATTTCCCTGTAGCATATACAATGACAGTTTTCAAATACCAGCTTTCCATGACATCCCCAAAAGTCAGTAAAGGCCAAAGCAACTATGGGCAACCACGGTGGAAACCAGGGCAGGAAATTCTGTGGGGCCAAAACACTTGTGGTGCAGTCTCAGTTTATAAGCTCATCAAATCTTAGGGTTACCTAAGGATTGAGAATGAAGGCTAAGCAGGATACCATGCTCTTGACAGCAGCGCCTTCCAACCAACCTCAGCCGTGATAGCCATCATGACTGGCTTTGTGATGTGCAGGGTGCTCCAGTGCATTTTTATTTAATCCTTCCAGTAACTCTGCAGAGTGGGGGCATTGGTCAAGACTTGTTCAGTAGCAAGTGAAAAAAGCCCAAGTCAAACTCCTTCAAGCAGAAAAGACAGGTTTACTGGATGATATATTATTAGCAAAGGTCTGAGCGGGCTAGGTGCTCCCCTCCCTCCCTCCCTCTCCCTCTCTGTCCCTCCCTCTCTCTCCCTCCCTCCCTCTCTGTCTCTCTCTCTCTCTCTCTCTCTCTCTCTCT